AAGCTACTACTAAGCAAATAAATTCTAGTTAGTGTTAATGATAATATTAAGACATCTGTTTAAGAAGCTCGTGTGTCGAAATGAAGTTAATTAAATTCCTGAGAAATCACTTCAATAAATAGACAGTTCTTTAGGTCATTGGCGAGTATTAGTCCTCCCACCCGATCTGCTATACCCTACTGGTCACGACTTCCCACTAGAACCCCAGGTAACTACCTATCTGAATAGACCCAGTCTCTAGTGGGCCTATCATTGCTATTCACTAATCGGATTTTAGGGATGTGATTGGTTACATGATTTCATCATGAGCTGATATTGGTTAGAGAAGCATTAGAAAATCTTCAGGGAGAACTGGACAGCTGTTTGGTTCCAGCTTGAGGATCGTGTCTCACTGGCTTAATGGTCCATGAGTTCGCCTTGTAACCGGAAGGTACCGGGTTCAAACCCCGACGGATATGTTGTGGTGAATAGTCCTAAACTAGGACGAAACAGCTGTCCATTACTGGCTTTCCAATGGTTCTCTAATCGTTGTCAGCGCACGATGAAATCTTGTAACCATTCAAACCTCTCTTCACTACTGACTGGGAATATTCCGGTAGGTGGTTACCTGGGGTTCTAGTGGAAAGTGATGGCCAGTAGGGTATAGCAGGTCGGCTGTGACGATAAATTCCTTGAGTGTATTAGAAGTAAAAATAAATTCTTTGGTAAGGAAGAGGGTAATTATAATTTCCAGAATCTATTGCTCAAACTATAGTTCTTATCATTGTTATACCAACAAGAGAACTGCTACGACACGGATGTACACTACAAAGTTATTCCACTTTAGGTATGTTGAATTTTTTCTGTGACATTCACTAAAGCTAGAATTTCCTATCTTTCAACTTCAGCCTGGATGATGACGGACGAAGTTAAAGTACTGTCGCCAAAGTCAACGTCTGTCAGAGATTGACCTTCAGAAACCAATCACATTTAGAGAACACTATGAATGGTCATTCCGAAAAGAAAAAGAATCCGTTCGTGACGCCAGATAAAGGATTCTAATTATTATTCCTGCGTACTTTATTCTGTTAAGCTTTGGAATTAAAGTTAAGGTTAGGGTGAGGGGAGGTTAAAGAGCAGACTCAAAAATATCAACAAGTCCCAAAGTACTATAATCCATAGTCACTCGGATGAATAAATCTATTGACTGTTGTGTGATTACTCTATGCCTTATTCTTTTAGTAAATGACAGACATTTCTACAATGCATAAGAGACAATTATTCAGTGTACTATCATCTTTGGAATACACTTCATTACATTTTTCAGTGATTAACCGGCTGTTTGAATCTAAATTCTAAATGGTTGTCCAGGGTCACTTTGATTCTGGCTATGATTTTTTAACTTCGCTTGATGAACACATTTCAGTGACACATAGAATAGAGCTTGAACACTGTTTTTTTCCTTCACGTTCTCAGTGGAACATAGGGCTCCAAGCTAGTGGCTTGAAGTTTCTGTAGCAGTGTTTAATTTTTACAGGATGGGGTTGCTAGCCTCATGCCCAACCTTTCCTCTTTACCAGCATTATTTCTGGCTTAGCAAGGTAAAGGAGTGCATTGGCGGCCGGGGATCGAACACTGGACCATGTGCATGGTTGGCGAGCATCCTAACCGCTGTGCCACCGACGCACTGAGCACTGTGGTAGAATGTAATTCCATATTAGATTAGTTTATTTTAAATATCACAAAGTAAGCGGTTCAGTATTAACAACTGGATGACAAGGTTTCGAGCATAAGTTATTGCCACTACTCATAATCATATCAAATTTAGTCACACGGTTTCAAAATTTGTCTTTTCCGTATATTTTCTCTGTCTGTTCTGTCTCTCCAACTTCCCTTTGTTGTTTCCGGTTGCCACTTTCCATATCTCCGGTATAGGTGATGCGTTGCGTCATTCCGATTTCACGTGTGCTGCGGTGTTGAATCGATTAAAATGGATTCAGTGATCAACCTGTCTCTCTTTCTCTCCACCTAACCATATTACTTTTTTATTTTTTTATTTATTTATTTTTGATTACAGCTTGATTCCACACCGTATTTTTGGTACAAGTATGGAATAATAATAATACTCTTTAATACTCTTACCCTGTCCCACCCACTCTACCGTTGTGTGTTTACATGGGGATGAATGCAGTGCAGTGGCTGAGATTTTTTCTAGGTGATTTAACTTAGCAGCTTCAGTTATTCTATGTCGAGCTAAATTTCTGTATTCCAATAATCCGATTAACCCTGATCTACTAGTTTAACTGACCTATGTAATTGACCTCATTCACTGTCATTACAGGGTGCATCGGTGAGGCAGCGGTAGAGTGTTCGCCGGCCACGTAGGTAGTCCGGGGTTCGATCCCCGGCCGACGCATTCCTTTACCTCTCTAAGCCAGTAGTATGATTGGTAAAGAGGGTAGGTTGAGGGCATGAGGCTAGGAACCCCATCCTGTAGAAATAATCACCACTGCTACAGAAACTTCAAGTATCTAGCCCTATATTCCACTGGGAAAGTAAAGGAATAAAAAAAACTGTCATTACATGTAAATTGATAAATTGTCGGTAGCACAGTGGTTAGGACTCTCACTGACCATGCACATGGTCCGAGGTCCGATCCCCTGTCGACGCACACCTGATATCTATGGTCGGCCTGCAAAATTCGGGCTACCGATATCACATGCTGAAAATTCCATACTTGTACCACAAATACGGTGTGGAATCAAGCTGTAATCAAAAAAAATAACATACAAGAAATTCAATGTCCAGTGATGTGTAGACAGCTAATTTTAAAGAAATCGTTAATTCTCAAGTGACTATTCATTGACGAAAGTCTAAACAGTTAGAAGAGTTCATATTCAAGCTCACAAATCAGTGTTAATTGACATAGGATTGCGTAACCAAAAAAGAGTTAGGGTCTGGTCAAACCAAACCTTGAGTTTCTTCCCGAAGAAATTCGGGACGATAATCGAATGATTATTATAACCACATGTTGAGTGACAGTGCGTCGATGGCACAGAGATGGAATGCTCGCCAACCACACGTGTGGCCTGGCGTTTGATCTTCACACGACTCACTCCTTTACCCCGCTAAATCAGTAATAAGAATGATAAAGAAGGAAGGTTGGGTACGAGATTAGCAACCACATCCCCACTGAAACTTCAAGCCTGTAGCTTGAAGCCTTATTTCTACTGGGAACGCTAAGGAAAAAAAAAGTAGGGTGACGCGTAAAGTCCAGAAACACAGGATTTGTTTAAAACTACTATACTAAACATAAAATATGAAATATAATATGCAAACGATAATTGTGAGGTGTCTGTGGCTGAACGCCGTCAAAAAGCACAATCATTTTGAATCACTAAGTAAAACCAGCAAAACTATACCAAAGGCTATCTACGTGTTATTCAAACAGCTCACGAATACCAGACACAGAATGAAGGCATACGGATAAACAGTGTGTAACAGTAAAGGGTATATGAATAAAGCATATACAGTAAATGACGTCCGATTGTAAGAAAATAATTATTATACATCTAATAGATTATTAATATATCGAGTGAGATAAACTTCAATAGTAAATAAAGACATGGTTAGAAATTAACCAATACAACTTGTCCCACTTACAGGAGATGAGAGGAATGACATGTGGGGGGGGGAGGGAATAGGAGAGAAATTAAAAATTGGTTCGAGTTAGCCATTTTGGGGAACTGTGAACCTTCGGATATCAAGAATCAGCTGTTAGCGACTAATGGTGACATGATGGGATATCGCTCGCAATGATGCAAATGTATTCACTCTTCGCGATCTTCTAAATCTATTGATTTCTCACCATTCTTAATGTTATTCTGTTTTCTGATATAAATTTCCATTTGTTAAAGTTTCTTTGCATCTTTTTCTATGGAATTATGTATACTTTTGAAATATGACAGTTGGAACTGCTATAAAGTTTGCTAAAACGTTTTATGTAGGGAATTCAGACAGTCAGTCAGTCATATGTATATGACAGACGAATTTCTAGTTATCACCTTCAATGGTGTCATGAATTCCTGTGACTGACTCACTTTTAGGAAATCTATAAACATCCATTTCGCTTTAAGCTGTAATTCCTACATGTACTGAAATCACCATAATTGACAAAAGACAATATCCAAGGTATAATTTATTAGTTTCAACTCGGTTGGCTGGAACAGATCATGCCACATAAAGCCATATACTATTGATTGATTGATTGAGATGAGTAGTTCTATACCACTCACACCATCAACCAGGAGTGTTTACTAGCTAACCAGATCGAGGTGATCTAAATGCTGGACAGCTGTTTCACCCGTCTGGTGCTGAGTTCATCTTTCGGCGCTGTATCTGGTTTGATTCAGCTCTTTCTCTGAGCTGAATCAATTGAAACCATTCAAATTCTGGCTAGCTACTTAGATGAACTGACGTTTGATATCCAGCTACTCAATTCAGTCACTGAGTAGTATGTAATTTTATGCAAATATATGCTTGCTTTCTTGATAAGCATTTATGATGGTATTAAGCAGATCATACATTGTGCGTGACCTGGACAATTTTCTTTTTCAAAGGAAAGTGCATGGTGAAAATCTTACTCCTCAAACTGTATCCATTGCAAATTGCTAACTCATTTGAAAATTGTGAATTTCATTAATGGATCTTATTACTTTAAGAACCACATTGATTACCTGAGAGTTGATCGTCCTACCCAGATGTCCAGATTGAAGTAGTTGGGAGAAGAATCCGTCCCGGGACCAGTTGAATACAAGTGAAATACTAAAGCCATTGAGTCACATTTACACAAAACTTATTTGATGTTGGTTTGACACGGAGTTTAGAGTACGTTCGACGTCTTATTTGGAATTAGTCAGTTGCATCTATCTGTTTTCCAGTGGATGATGTTAACCCAACTGGGACTCGAACCCAGATTCATTATATATATATTGTTCCTTGTTTTTCTTTCAAAATTTCAGATAATGCATCCTAGAGTGGATAAACTAAAAATCAGACTACAACAATGCAGTATAAAACCAGTAAATGAAGTTCCCATTGAAGACTTGAACTCACATTTGCATAATATAACAGTAAGTTGACATAATTACTTGTAAATGTACGCCATTCTTTTATCAGTAAAGTTAGAGGGGAGAGAGAGAGATATCCCACATAATTATTGAACAAACGATTCACTTGTTTCTACTGGTCCATTATCTTTGATGATGTTGTTTCCTTTAAAATTCGGTTAGTATCTTGCCCTTCTTGTGTTGAAGGCTATTTTATCCCAGGAAGTGTAAGTTGTTCTCAATCTGTGTTGGGAGAATTTATTCGAAATCGAAATACTGGGGTGATGACCGATGGTGTCATCTTTGAACATTTGGCATCTCGATGAAGTCTATCCAGCTCTGTAACTGGAGGTAAAGTTTTCTTCAAAAACCACTATAAACGGACTATATGTGGTCGGACTAAGTAACAGTAATGATTGTAATCCCTTTATTATACGCAGTGGGATTTTTGGCATTTGCTTACGTATAATGCAGAAAGGTATCTCCTTTTATAAATGTATTCATACGTAAAATATCTTCACATGAAACCGTGCTAAATATGGTGTGGTGTAATTTTTGACATTTAGCAGTAAGAACATAAATTCTTATGACATACAATGCGAAAGCTAAAAATGAAGAGGGTGTTTAATAGCCTGCTACTTGCAAAAATTAAAATCCCCATCACTCACAATGTCAGTTAGTTTAATGAAAGACACACACGCACGCACACGCCACTAACCCTGCTTGCTTACAGCCTTCAATGTTCTTCCTTATTTGAAATATTCGTTCTTGAGAAGCTCAGGGAAGAACAAACAGTGAATAAAAAAGAAGAATAGGCGGAATACATGAGTTAATAAAATGCAAGAGGAGGTTCCAACTTCTCTATAAAATAATTCAAAAAAGAAAACTTTTCTTAGAAATCCACAAGATATGAGACGACTAACAGAGATTTGAAGAGAAACTGATGTTAAAATCAAAACAAGTGGCGATTCAACGAAGGGACTCTAATTCAACAACGAATTTATTCTCAAGCTGTAGAATCGTATAATGTGTTGTAAGAAATTATATCCAGTGAGGGAATTGAATCATAGATGTGAATGCATAAAATAATAGTAATAGTAGTATGAAATGAAATTAAAATATTTGTAATTATAATCATAGTTATATGTCATGTGGCAAAACAGTCAATGTCATATAAGAAATAATTCATAGGATCTATAGATGCTGGAACGGGGTGCACAATTACTGGAGTAGTAAGCAAATAGAATAAAAATAAAAGCGTTACGTAACATTGTGTGAAATTTGATAACATAGAATTTAACATTGCAAAACAGAATTGATTTAGAATGACAAGTGGGCCAAGTGAAATAGTACCGGGGTCAATTCAGAGTGAGAATAGTAATGGTAACATTTGACGTAATAAAGGGAGAGTATATAAATTGAATAACTGGTAGAGCCAAAATCTGATTAGAGATTATCATACTTTACCATAGGGGAATTAAGACCATGAAAGTTCGGGGTGGGTAGGTGTTGAACGAACGTTTTGATTCTACAGAGATCTGGCTTTTCTGTTACGACAGCCAAGGATGGCTTCAGCAATTCAAATGAGTGGGGTACATAGTGATTTGGGCAAATTACTTTTCACCTCGTGGATGACTTTAAAGGCGAAGGCTGTAGAGAAACAGGGTGATCATTATCGATCAGATGTTCAGTGATCGCACTTCTCATTGCTACACTTCCACCTATTCGTAACTACCACGCAGCATAGTGTTTTTGCACGCTCTTGGACAAAACCTGAATCGAACGACCGATATACCTAGCTCCACACAAGTAGATGAATTGACAAACGCACGCAGAGTTAGTCAAGTTGATATCACAAGAATCATGCTACTGAATCGGTCCCTTAGGCTTTACTCTTATGCAATACTAATTCTCTCTCCGTTTTAATTCATTGCACCTCATAAAATGAACTACTTCACAAAACATTATCACTATTATTATTATAATAACGCAACAAGAGAAAATTAATATTTTAAAAATTCTTTTTGTTATCATAGTTATTCCGTCTTGAAAACTGTTCTCAAATGTCGATTATTCAATGCATAGTCAAAGATGGCAATGAATTCAAAAATGTTATTCTCCACCTGAATGAAGATTATAAATGGGAGGATAAAACAGACGGCCTTCAGTTGGAATTTCTTTCATTATCATCCGGTAGTAGATGTACCAAAGAGGCGTCTGATGTTATTACATCAGTTATACCCTTTGTAAATCAAAAAGTGGAGAAAATTATGAATGATTTTATCGTCAGTTTCAATCAATCATCTATCCTTCTTGTAAGTCAACTATTTATTTATATATATTTATATATACCTGAAATATTTTCAAGTACTGGTTTTGTAAGGATTTTTGTTTGATTGTATGCAGGATTTCATCATGAGCTGACATCAGTTAAAGAACACTGGAAAACCTTGGAGTACTGGATAGCTGTTTCGTCCTAGTTTGGGGTTTTCATCGGTACGCACCCACCGGGGTCCGACTTCGGAACCTTCTGGTTACAAGGCGAGCTGTCTCGTAGACCATTAAGCCACTGGGACACGATCTAATGGCCAGCCCACGAATTCAAACTTCTGACAGTTCACGACATAGCGCGACCACTAGCCAATATCTTCGCCGAGTATTTGTCGTCACACCCGACCTGCTGCAGCCGACTGGTCACAACTTCTCACTAGAACCCTAGGTAACTACCTACCTGAATAGGGTGAGTCGCTAGTGAGCGGTTCTCTAACCAATGTCAGCTCATGATGAAATCCTGTAACCAATCAAATCCCTACAAACCAACACGTGAATATTCTATAGAAGTCAGAAAAGTTAGTCACGCGTCACGAAAAGCATATCCAACAGCCCCCTGAAGACTTTCATCAATGGCCGCCTTCATTTACTCCAGTGGGATGGCCAGAGGGGATGAACAAAAAGAAACTCTGGGAACGAAACAATCAAGGAGCTACTGTTCAACAGATAATCCAAAGAAAAAGGAGATCAGTCGGATACACGCTGAGGAGAACGTTGGCTAGCATCGCGCAGTATGTCTCCGAGTGGGGAGCGATGAGATGAGCGTGTGTCTTCAAAGGTGACATGAAGGTGATCGTGTGACGATGAGGTGAAAGCTTATAGAATGTAGAGAACAGGAGTAGATGTAGATGTTCTTTTGAAGGTCTGTGTTCCACTTAGAACCCTGGGGAATAATTATAATTACTTTCTCACTAAATATGTTGTTTATTGGCTTATTTATTGGGCTTCCTGTTAATATTATTCGCATTTGAATCTCCTTCCGCTTTCTGCTACGTGACAGGTGACTAAACTGTCGTATCACAATTTCTATTGGTTTATATCCTGGTAGACGCAAAATCTCTTCAGGGTAACAGAGTGTTAATTCCAACAAATACTAAACACATTCAAGCAGTAATCATAAATCTTTATATTTAAGCAGTACTTTTATTTGGCATAGATGATGATGACTGTAATCCTCTTTAAGAGCTGGCTATTTATTATTTCTGGCTTCATATACTCACATAGTTAGTCTTATTCTCCTGTCTTATATGTACATATATATTTCAGGAAGCTACTAGAAGTCGACTTATTGAAACTGGACAAATTCAAACACTGCTGAACGACTTTTCAAGTATACTTAATGAATCATCGATTTGTTCTGCCAAAATATTGGATCATTGCCAGAGTGAAGATGAGATTGACAGTGTTGGTCAGCAGGCGGAAGAGAAGGAGAAAGTTGTGGAAGAGACGAAAATGATTTATATGTCAGTGATGAACAAAACGACCCGGTTAATGTATCACTAAACCTTCCACTAAACCATTCGGGAAAAATGGAACACTTGGAGGTATGTTTAAAATTACACATACATTTTTCCGTGTTTATTCAGATTTTCTGTCATGTTTATTCATCAACAGGACATAAGAGCTCAATTGTTCTAAGCTGGCATATTGAATGAGGCATTGAGTAGTTTATTTTATGATGTAACACAATTTTGACGTAACCAGTTTGTATACCAATTATGCCCATAAATACAACTCTGGAGGCAGTTAAGAAAGTGAAATGAACATTGGTCCTGAATTCAAAAGTAGGGCTGAGCTCTTGGTTGATGAAATAATATTAGGTGTTCAGTTATGTCTCACCTTCATTGTATTTGAATTTCAAAATAAACTATGTAAACAAACGAATGATGGCAGCAGTGCGATGAATCACCAATATCCTCAACAGTAGAAGACATATATAATGAACAGTTGGGAACATAAAGCTTTCAGAACGTTTACTCCTCCTCCACCTAGGATACAGTAGATGACACACATTCACTGTATCGAAACCTAAACACATCTTTCAGCTGTTCATACACACATACATATAAACTCAATAGTAGACGGAAGTCAATGCACTTCTGAGTGAGAAAGTGAATAAGGTGAATTGGTCATGCTACATTGTACAGTAAAACGAAGAAAAGATGATGGGTTAGATACCACTTAGCATTTATAGGATCCCGACATACACAGTGGTTAGGACTCTCGCCGACCATGCACATGGTCCGGGGTTCGAACCCACGCCGACGCACACCTGATATCTATGGTCGGCCTGCGAAATTTGGGCTACCGATATCCACGCTGAAAATTCCATACATGTACCAAAAATACGGTGTGGAATCAAGCTGTAATCAAAATAAATAAATAAACATTTGGATTTCAATGCATCCCATCCAGAATCAATAAAGGAAGATAGGATTAGTTAAATTGTCTGTCTATGTATGATCGTGCCAGGAGCCTAACTCACAGGTAGGTCAGAAGATTTAAACAAGGAAATGAAACAAATAAGGCGAATATTACTAGGGAATAACACACTGCCCAACAGAAATTATTCAGAAATATACGAAGAAACATAGAAAATAAAAGATTGTTAATGGAATTAACAATACATTATTCAGGTCACATTTGCTATCACAAATGATAAAAGCATCATCAACGTACCTTTTGTACAGAAAAAGAGTTGTTGTTGAATTTAAGGAATAATTTTCCAAACTGAGAGCGGACAATACACGAAGAGAACTGTTCTTTAACTGTGAGGCTGTCGGCGAAATGAATGAGGACGGAGAACTCTTCGCAGACTTGAGTTCCTTCAGTGATTTAGTGGTCAGGGTTTGCGTGTAGAATCACGAGGATATACATAAGGCGGCGTGAATCTCAGTCTAATGGACACTCCAAAAATTCGGTAAACTTCTCGATCTCACGAAAGTGTGGACGCATTAAACAAAGAAGTGGAGAAGAGTTTTAGAAAAGACAAAGATAATCACACGAAACATTTGCAACTGAAGCGGAACGTAATACAAGTAAAAGGGATATCTGAACACTATACTGGATAACTAGGATGCTTTCTGGAAAGAGATCAGCACAGACGAAACCAATATCAGATAGTGAAGGGAGTACAAGAGACAATACACTAACCCCTTCATAGGCCTCTTGACCCGACCATCACGTACAACTGGTTTGAAAATATCGTGAGCAGCTATAGGACTGCCAGTGTGCACCAACGCTTTTTCCAGAAAAGTCAGAAGTCTTGAATGCTATGAGGTAATTGAAAGCCAACAAGGAAAACGGTAGCAGCAGCAGACGATTACCTCATCTACTGACTCACAACTGTAGATTATTCGGTTTATTGTTAATACTGCTACTACTGTGCAAGTTTACATTAACAATATATGCGCTGGAGTTGGCATACTCATATGCTCAGTATTTACTATACCTCCGGTATGACTAATGTAATAATAAAGAGTTTTATTAAAACACTGAAGGGAATACCAAACTTCATTCTTTTTTTTCTTTTTTCATTTTAGATATGGTGTAAAGAAGTAGAATCAGTGCGAGGAATGCTTAACGTGATCGCTTCAAATCCCTGCATGGATACTACTGATGATAAAGATCTTGAAAGTGAAATAAAACGATTAACAATACAAACTGAACAACATTATCTTGATTTATCAACAAAGAAAGCTAAACTATTAGATGAAGTAAAACAAGTAAGTGTTTTTCTCGACTCTATAAATCTCTCCTATACGAGTATCAAACAAGCAATCTGTTGGGCTTTAGACTAGTTAGATGGTGTAATGATCATATCTGCACCTTTCAAAAATTCCGGTATCCAAAAACTGACATAATTCTTGACCTGAAGGCGGATTTCGACTGTGTCATCCAAGAGGTAATATGGCAGTGTTTGACCGTAAATAGAGTCCTGAGAAAGTGCATCGTACTAGTGACTGCACTCTACTTGAACTCATACATACAGCTAGCTGAGAACCTACGGAGAGTTGTCATCTGAAGTGATGACAACCAGTGGTGTCCGTCGGCAAAGGATGCCTACTGTCTCCATTTCTGTTTAATTCCATCACAGATGTACTAATGGAATTGTATCTAACTGACTTCAGCGACTAAGGGATTAAATTTTTACCAGAGAATAGTCTTGCTGACTTAGAATGTGTGGATGAAATAGTCCGCCTAGGTGAAGACGCTGATAAAATGCACAGTTTTCTGATTAATGTCGAAATCTCAGCAACCACACAAAAGAATACTGTTGAATTTCCCGATTTACGTCATATCTGGTGTATATGTAATATTCGACTGGCTCTCGATCAAACGATATGTGTACTGCTCACTACTTCACTTCGTCCTCCTATATGGCTGTGAGACATGGTCATTGAAATTGAATATGTGAAATGATTGGCTGTCTTTTATTATAGCTGTCTGCGTTATAACCCCCATGTTATATTGTAGGTATAATAGTGTGATTAATAATGAGGTTAACCATCGAGAGTCACGTAAGTATGGAAAGTCAACGGATGAAGTTTTGAAGGTACATTTGACTGAGATATTTAGGACAAGAGGTTTCACGCATCTCAAGCAGTTAGCTTCCTCGAAGGTTAATGTTACCTGACATAAGATGGATCATGTTAGAGATGAACTAGTGGTAGTCAGGCGAAAACTTGGAATTAGTGGATTAAATTTTCAACAGTTAGTTTAAGCCAACCATATAGGGAGGTGCACACTTCCTCCTCAGGATACTAGGAACCCATGGTTGGAGATAATTGGTGATGTGGCACAAAATCGACGTTCTTAGTAGTGCTGGATGCATTCACTCTCTTTGAGCTTCCTTATTCATCAAACCATCAAAGTCTTCTCCACATTACCATTCTCTTTCTCTCTTCCCCCCTCTCAAACACATTCTTTTGTATCTCTTTCTCCTCTTTTATCTACTTTTGTATGCTAAATGTAGTGTATCAAGTTCAACTGCTACACTTCTGTACAAGGTTCTATGTTTAAACCAGTCGGTCAGTTAGTTAGACAGTCTTACTAGTTATCATAACAAACTCACTAGAAGTTCTCCTTCATAGCTAAATTTTAGATTTAAATCATATTGAAACGTTTCAGTAAGTAGAGAAACCGTCTGATCAGCCTAAAAACAGGATTAAAAACTGCCTTTTCGGATTGGATTGTGAGAGCGATTGTTACTTCCCGGCTGCCCACACCGTGGAAGTTGGTTGCGTGACCGCAGAGCCCTGGGGACAACTGCTTGAGGCCGGTCACACTCGGCCTGTTTTTGTTTGTTCTCTTTTGTTTGGTGTGTCTCAGTAGCATACTTATCACTCCTGCCCTGTGACACGTCAGCAGGAAGCGCGGTCGTTGTTGATCCGGGCCACGGCCGATCCGGCATGAAATTTTGTGATTTTGTATTTATCATGATATTGGATGGGGTAGCTGCTTTTTGTTTAACCGCTATCCAAACAACCTGCCTGACATGGTAGAACCTCAGGAGACATAAGTCTCAACCAGTATAGCTTGAATAGATCATTTCGGTGTTCAAGCCCGACCACCACGTCAAGGTAGCAGCTTTCGGTCGGGAAAAAAACTGCCTTAATGCAGTGTAATTTTTACAAACAACTAAAACTCGTCTTATTTTTGTTGTTGTCGAAGATGCATTGAGAACTGATAACCGAAGTCTGTTAGAACTTAATTGCTGGGATCAGATCTTACAGATACCAGACTTAGTCATACATTTGTAGCATTTTGTTAAGACTCGTGATGCTACCCATTTGTTAAGGTTGAAGTAGATTGTAGTTAAGAATTCGAGTTTAGTCCCCATTCGCTGAAAGCCGAGTGCCTAAAGCAATATGATACATCTTCATGATAACTGAATTAGTGAAACACGTAGCATTTACAGGCTATTCCAAAAGGTCCCGACTGGAACATAGGGCTTCTGGCTTTATGGTCTCAATAGCGATAAAGTTATTTTTTCATACTGTGCGCATGATAGCCTCACAGCGTACCCCTTATCTTCTCCCAGGTTACTAACGGTTTATACTAGAGGTGGATCAATTTTAAGTCCACATAGGCCAGTAATCGAACTCAGGCCGTATACGTGGCTTACAAGCATTCTACTATCTAGCCACCGATATACAATTTAATTTTTAACGATAAAAACTTTGTGTGACTATTTATGCATTATTATTATTATTACTATGTTTTCATTAAAGTATTATTCTGTTTACTATATTTTTCTATGGGTTAGAGAATTGCCCTGCATTCAGCAAATAAAGAGTTTGTAAGCTCTGAATTCATTTGTGATTGTTTTCGTCTTTTGTTCTGTTCACCTAACTAACACAAAGTTCCCATTTACACTTCACTTGTATCTATTCTTATCGTTCAGAGTATTAGTAGTGTTATCCTCTTTATGTTGTTGGTGTTGTTTCTGTTGTTCTTGATGTTGTACTGTGTGCACAGAATGTATTGTGATGAATAAATACCATTAAGTGGTTTATACATGAATGCACTGTCTTCTGTGATAGCCAGCGAGTCAATTAAAAAGTATTCATCTTTTAATTCAATTTAGACTTTCACGTTGACTGATTGGACCGACGTGTTCAACCTCAGGTTGACATGTCGGTTCCTCCTTGTGCAGATACTTTGACGATGTCTGCTGATTGTTTAACTTATAGTAAATTGATTTGTGGTGTGTCCACGTTTCGTCTTCCACATGATTCGTCATCTGGATGAATCTCATTCATTCTCCAGTGGGTCGAAGCATCCACACGAGAAGCCGACGTGTCAATCGGAGGCCAGTCAAAGGGAAAGTCTAAATTGTAATAAAAAGTTTTGTATTTCCCAATGAATGAAAAACAAAACGATATTGTTTTTACTGACGTTTCGGTATTTAATTCTAATAGCTTTGTCAAAGTATTATTAAACCTATTATTATAGTATTATTAAGGTCTAAATTGATTTAAATAATTGCTGATACCTGTTTCACAAAGGGCGGCTAGCTGCCGTGAGCCAAGCGGTTTAGTGGATAATAATTCAGCGTTTGAAACTATGGGTACTGGATTCGAGCCTCTTTGGGAACATCATCACTGACTCACTGGGGGAAATGAAATTGCATCCATCTGGCGAATCACAAATAGAGAGAAATATGCATTCTGGATTCCACTTCTGGTCACTTATCATTCACGAATTTACTTCAAATATTCATCTGCTTTACTTTCTTTTACTGTGACTCCATCTATCTTTCTCTTCCAAATCTTAACTGTAATTTGGATTGTTTATTTCTTTTTAAAATATTTCCCAGGAGAACCAATTGCTTCTGTCTATATCTGCTTGTTCTACTTGGATTGGTCAGTTAAGAGAGGAACTGATGAAGCTCGGTATACCAAATCACCTGAATGTTGATGTAGCTGAAGTGAAATGGAAAGAGTTTAAGGTAAGTCTGTCTCCCTCTTATTAATTTAAACATGTTACTAATGAGAATTTGACAATGAAAACCTTTTTAGTTACTCAAATTCAATTTAAGTAGCATGATTGTTTTCGGGTATAAAGTTTGTTCAACTATCACTAGATATGATCAAATAATGCAAATATTTTCAGGCATTGTTTTGCAAGGCGTTGATTGATTTCACCTGGGTACTGGACAGCTCGGTTGCATTCAAAGTGATCTGATAGGTATGTTCCTGTGGAAAGTCTCAGAACAAAGGCAAAACCACTGTCCACGTATCCTAGTTTCATACAGTTCCCTGAATGGTGCAAGCTAGTGATCTAACTTATATATATATTCGCCGAAAAAATACCAGTGGATGCATTATGAACCGTCGCCAAAAACGTTTTCGGCAGACTGCTGTAGATTTTTCATCAACAAAAGCCTTCATCGGATGCTGAAGATGGGATGGAACAAAGAAATTTTGCAAGGAACAAGAAAGCCATCTTATCACCCTACAAATGTAGTGGAGATCGACTGAATATACACTGAGGAGGCTTTGAACTGACAGAACACACGAGATGTGACCTCAAACAGAATTCGAATAGGAAACGACAGATTGGAAGGATATCAAGAAGATCATGTATAGAGATGTGGAAGGATTGCGGACCCAGGTAGAGAAGCGAGTACAATGGTGATGTGATGCTGACGCTACATGCTTCATTGAGTTCAGGGAATAAAATAATAATAATAAATAAATATTGTTGGTGGAACTGGTTTTTGTACCTGTAACATAGTGTTACTTACTATAGAGCATAGAAGTAAATGTGTGTTAGACAATTACATATAAATTTGGATAAAGGGAACACTGTTGTAGCCACTATTCTTGTGGCCATGGAAAATTGTATGAATTTATTTTATGTATAAATGTCTAGGCGTTCGCACGTCGTTTCACTACCTCATATACAACCATACTGACAGCTTACTTATGACTTGGGCTGTCAAACATTTCCGTCTTTATAATGCCTAGAATTTCTTCTCTTCTTCTTTTTGTTTTAATCGATTAAAATATGACTCCTAATGGCCTCATGTCTGTCTGTCTGTCCGTTTTCGACATAGAACTTTGGCCATATGTGCGGTGGTTCAAGTCACCACACTTCCTCCTTGTAGTACACAAAGCAAGAGAAGAAAGTGGAAGAAATGCATAATAGAGACAGTAACCGGAGGTGTGAGACAAAGGAATAGTAGTAACGAAGAAGAAAACAATTTCATTGGAAATCATAGGTCACAAGGAGTGGATGCATCTGCGCCATCGAGAACGATTTTGAGCCATGTCACCAATCGTTTCCAACCATTAGCCTCATATTTACTGCTGGTTGGTTAGTTTCTACTGAAGTTGAGAACGAGCATTACCATGAGTGACACAGTGGTGGCACAGTGATTAGGACTCTCACCGACCCTGCCCATGGTCCGAGGTCCGATCCCCTGTCGACGCACACCTGATATCTATGGTCGGCCTGCAAAATTTGGGCTAACGATATCACATGCTGAAAATTCCATACTTGTACCACAAATACGGTGTGGAATCAAGCTTTAATAAAAAAAATCAACTTATCTCAATACATCAGATAACTATACTTGAGTTATATCCCTGGGTTACAAAATGTACTAATGAATTTATTATAATCGGTTTCAGCTAAATATCGCACATTTATCAAAGGAGTTTGGCTTACGCTTCAGGTCAGACAGTGTAGTGTCACAGGATCTGCCGTCAGTTAATATTTTATTTGGAAATCCTATAGGCAATAAACTTCGATGGATGTACCACGCATTATGTAAACAGTCCTCGGAATAAAGCTGTTTTTAGCGTTTAAGTAGAAACCTGTTATGTCTGGCCGTCTACCAAAGGACGTTTGTATTGCTTAGCAGCGGTTCGCTCCGTTCTCCTTTATAGCTATGAGACATGGAAGATATGAAAAGCTTGACTAGCTGTCTCTAATCATACGTGTCTGCGTTCTATCTCCAATGTTAGGTGGTAGGTGTAATAGACTGAGTAATAATGAGGTTAGGCTTCTGTCGAATTTTAGGTAGATAGGGAGGGGAAATCAATCGATTAGGTTGGAAGCCACGTCTGTCTGGCCATCGCCTTCCTTGATGGTCAAATGTTAGCTGACATAGGATGGATCAAGTTGGGGAAGAGTTAGTGTTGGTAGGAACGAAACATGGAATAACTTAATAAAATCTATATCAGGTAGTTTAAGCCACTCAGGGAGCTACAGACTGATTGGCTAGTCAGGGTCCTTGGGGTGGTAAGAACCGATGGCTGGAGGCAGACATTTGGTGATACAACTCGAAATCGTTGTTCTCAATGATTGTGCAGATGTATTCTATCTCTGTGGTTTGTCATATCCATCCAATAAAACTCTATTGTTCTTACATATTACTAGTCTTTTTCCTTTGCTCACAATGCTGTTCATTATCTCTCTTTTGAATCTCGCTTTACTCTGTACTCTTGTTTTGTGTGTTACAAGGAGGGAGTTTGGCCCCTTGAACTGCTGCACATCTGTGCAAAGTTCTGTATTAAAACCAGTCAGTCAGTAACTTGTTGGGAATTATTATGAACCTACAAATAGGGAGTTGAACTCAGTCCTTTCAACTGCTTGGAGATTGTGGGTTCATATGTGATAAGAAAAAATGATCCACACTCTGATGTAACCATAAAAAATCATGGATCGGTGGGTAGATGGCTTATTATGCATCCATTAGAACAAGTGTGTTGAATCAATCAAGAACAGAATGAGGTTTTAAGTGCTTAAAATAGTCACAGTAGTTTTATAATTCAATATTCTGATGGATGACACTAGAGACGTTCTGGTTATTACTGCTGAGGAAATTTATTAAGATATCTCGAAGTATCTATGAGATACTTTTGAATGAGGAACTGCAGTTACTTTCACTTTGATTTCCACATTCATCATTTGTAGAAATTACACACTTAGGAGGGATACATCAATGCAGTTCGCTCTGGGAACCATTTGATCTGCCTGATAATATAAGTAGGAATTTAAAAAAAACCCTAATGAAGTAGAAACAACTTATCTGTTATTGATTAGTATCAGTAACTGGAAGCAATTTACGTCGAGCAAAACTACTTTTTAGCTAGATTGGGGTGATGTAAACACCGGATGACAGCGGATATCTTTGATTAGCTTAATTCTGAACGGGCCATTTCGTGTCTAGATCACTCTGATCTCGTTGGCAGGCGTTATTCTTTCACGTGAGTATATCTCTATCTACTCAAATCAGTCAGTTAGTAGTATGCTTAAGAATAGAAATATAAATGTGGAAATGAATACTGCTTCCTTATTTCACTTAGGCCTTAGTTATTGCAGTTTTTAGATTTTCGTCATGAACAACATCAGTTAGAGAGATTACTGAAAACCAGAAAATAAAACAATCAACAGATGTTCGGTTCTATTTTGGAAGTATTCAGTACTGCGGACCTACTAACCCAACAAGGATCGAACTGTGGACGTCCAGGTTAAGACATCCAAATCGTTGACGATTTAGCCACTTGGGCTGTAATCCAATGACGCGTGAATTCTAGCTTGGTCAACTTGTGATATACAGCCACCATAGTCCAACGCCTTCTATAAGCATCCACTTTATCTTGACATTCTGGGACCCATTGATCACGACTTCCAAATGCAGTTTCAGGCAACTGATATTCAGATTAGAGAATTTGTTGGAATTTTAAATTGATTACAGTTGTTTAGTTCTCATCATGAATCGGCATTAGTTAAGCAGATCACTGCGTTTATAATTGCACAACATTTTTATTTTTGACTGTTATCATCTGATGTATTTAAAGTTACCTATAAACAAACAAGATCTTCAATACAAAGGTCAAGTCAGTCAGTTCTTCTATATGGATCAGAAACTTGGCGGACGGGTCACAAAGAATATTTTCAACAGACTATTGCAGACCTTCATTAACAACTAACTGTCTTCGCTCTATACTGAAGATCAGATGGCCGGGGCGGAAAGAATCACCAACTAGAACCTATGGGAACAACAAACAAAACAAGAACCAATCGCAAACCAACAAATATGCAGGAGAAAGTGAATTGGATGGATTGGACACTCGTGGCTGAGGAGGCTGCTGGGTGACATCGCGCGCGTGTCAGGCCATTGTTTGAGTGGAACCCGAAAGGGAAGCAAGTGGTAAGTGGGTCGTCAGTGAGAGGGTGACACGGAGGAGATCGTGTGAAGAGGAGTTGAAAGAGTATGGACTAACATGGATGCAGGTGAAAAGTACAGGAGAGAAGAAGACAGAAGCATGTGGAGACGTACATTTGAAGCCCTATGTTCCACTAGGAACCCAAGGGAACAATAATAATGGTAATAAACAAATAAATACACAACCTGAATATTCTCATAATATATTCAGAACAAAAATAGTTAGAACGAACAATTCTGCTTTCAAGAAATTCTCCTTCTTCACGTTCGACAATTATAAATTCATTAATTAATTTAAGCAGACAACAGCTAGTCAGTAGAGGCGAATTAAAATCATATTAGAAATATGTATTGTGGCACAAGTATAAGTTAGATGGGATGGAACGGTAGTCAGTTAGTTTTGAAAATACATGACCCATGAGAACATGAAATAAAATGAGATGAAATAACTCATTGATGTGTGTATATGTGTGCAGACAACAGAAGTACAGGTTTCGAGGGTAAGTGTAATCATCAGTGATGTGTGAGAGAGGCGATATGAATACTACAGAGAAATAAACCAACACAAATGGAATGAACTAGACGTAAGTTCAAGGGTGAAAGTAACGACAGTAACAATGACGATGATGAAATAATAACAGTGGTTTGGTGTAAATTTAAAAGTACTATCGGCAAGCGATTATCAAATAATAATGATAAATTTAGTGAAGTGAAATGAACCTGAATCTGTAAATATGATAACAAGTTAGAAAACGCACTATGTAAACTTGAAGGGAATAGAAATCATAAGAAAGGTCATGCAGTAGTTAAAGGTCAGAAATGAACGCTTGTTAGTGAAACAAAGGAAAATAAGAATTTCATGTGCTAATGTTTATGAAAGATTTGTTGGTCTTATTTTAGACCAAGGTGAACATATCGATTGAACACACTTCTTTATACCAAGATCCGGTCTTTTGGTTATCATTGCTACCCATTTAGCTACTGATAGAAGACGTAGTTTAGGTCCTCTGGATAGATTACCAGGAAGGCGGTAAATAAGTGAGAATGCCTGGTCAGGTTTTATCAAATGCCCGTTATCTAAGTGGTCTAAGACTGCACTGTTTGCGCATTTGGTTACCCCTTTATGTAGCTATACAGGCACATTTTCACGTCCACGCATGGATAAGGCCCTATGAGTATGACCGATGCAACTAGCTTTACGTGAGCAGTTGATTTCATAGATACACACTGTTGAGGTCATCTTTGGAAATTTATCCTTGACTCGATTTGTTGAGAAGCTGAGAACCAGTTTGGCTGGAGGAAACGTTCTCACCACTGATCTATTAAGTCGACGTTTTAGAATGTTAGCTGCAATTTTTCCTTTGTAAGTTAACTCAAGATACAAAGGTTTCTTATCTACAGTGACTATCGTTACTCTTCCATGAGTATAGACTTATCATTTATCAATCAGAGTACCCCATGTGTTGCTAAGTTTTAACCCTCTGTATTTTCATTGTTGTTTCTAACAGGAATGGGAGTTAACATTTCAAAATGAAAGTCATAAACGATTAAGCAGTCTGATAAAACAATTACCCAATTCAATATTTCAATCTATTTTCAAACAAGATAAAGCTTCATTGACAAGCATGGAAGATTTTGTTTCAGACGAAAGAAACTTTAATGACTACATCATCGACATTAATGACAAAAAATCAACATCGTCATCATCATCATCGCTAACAACGAAAAGAATTAAATCACGTCTTGAGTTGAGCATTTTACGTATGCTAAGACAATATGCTGGTTGCCGACGTCAATGTTCAATCTTTAACAAATTATGGATCAAGCATATAAACTATGTAAAGCATCATGCGTACAGTTTGAACAAGATACACTTAGTATTTGAAGGAATTCAAGCAGAATTGTCCAAGTTGTACAGACCATCGAAATTGGTTAGCTGTTGTACAGCACAATTGAATAGTGTAAAGGTATGTTTCGTTTCTCGAACAGCTTCAGTCTTAGGAATAGTTTTGTACTTGATTTTTAAACATTGTTTAGCTCTAACTTCAATGTGTGTATGTTTGAGGTTGATGACGTTTCAGTGACTGGTTCTGAGTTCAATCCCGGGTTGAGTTATAGGTAACAACCAAAATCGATTTGTTGTCATCTGAACACGGGGGTGTGATCTTTGCGTTCTACTTTATAGCTGTCCGAACATTCCTTGATGGACCCGCAGTCACCTTAACCTCTAAAGGCAGCAAAATGACGATTTTTCGCTGGTAAATCTATGTGTGGTTCCATTCTACAATAACAGTAAAATCAAAACTCAGTGCTTCCTCAACATTGTCCTTAGACAGTTACGTAATCAAGATCATTTTTGTAAGTACAAAACAAGTAATGTAGAACAAAATTACTTAACTAAAATTAAAATGTAAGACGTACTGGTGATCCAAATAGGGTATTACCAACAACAAGGTGGGATGAAAACTTTGTTCAAAAGAATTCCTGAAGATAGCCCAGGATCAGAACTGTCTTCATCTCATTCGGAGAAAATCACATCGTAAAGCAACATTTTCTCGGTATCATGTATCACACAACCACAAGAGAAGCATTAAAACTAGAGACTAAACAAGGAGATAAGGACTGATAATAGGGATCAGGTCAACAGATGACTTATAAAAGTTAGGACAATGATACACAGTCGATGGGAAAAACGGATAATCATTACAAAGTTATTTGAAACACCTTACTAAGTCGATTGTCGAGGAGGGATTTTCCAAACAATCGTTCAAGTTGCATATACCACTGAAGAGTCAACAACGAAGACAGGCTAGAGAGGGTTAGTAAGTCAGCTGTTTATCTATCACTCTATGTCTTTGGAGATTATACATTGTCGAATGATTATCAAACAAACTTCATTGTCTGTGAAATCTCTCTTTGTAGGGGAATCGTTAAGATTCACTAAATATTGATTTCTATTTCACCCAGTGACCACAAAAGTGATCGGGTTCGGGGCACATCTAAGAAAAGGATGCGTTTAATTCGCAAAGTATTCATTGTTGTGAACACTAATATGATGTTCTTAAACTTATAAGTACCATTAGCATCTGAGAACCTCCTTAAGGGGACAGCAGTCTACAACTCTCTAGTCGTCGAGTTTATGGATTGGCGCCATGCTCTCGCTTTGACTACCCGTCGAAATTTTGTCTAACGTAATCCAGTCTCACCTAACCTAAGTATTCGAAGAAGGGTTATTGTTCGGAACGGTTAACATGTATTACTAAACTTTTATTGCTGAACACTTTACCTGTAATATTTTCGCTGGTCTTATTTTCAACTATCATGAAAAATTGATTGTCGGTTGCCAAAAACTGGTTGATATTTTCAAATCTTCCACTTTCACACTGCCATAAATACGTATAAAGAAAACTATTGCATGGTACATACTGAACCTGATGAACAGACAGATGTTTCATTGGTGACAAAGATGATAACTGTTGCCGAATATCGGAAGGGCCTTCAGTGATCTGATCGAGATTCCGTCAATAGCCATTTCATAAGGACTGATGTAGCTTTTCGAATTAGTGAAGCTGTCCAACTAGTTTACGGACAGAGTGATAAAGATATTCACGGATGAATTTGAATATTTTCATAGTTCTTCAAAGGAGACGAAATAACATTAGATGGAAAACCTGAGACAGTACAGAAGAGACCATCGTTTATAAAGTTAAAATTTAATGGGGACTAATCAAAGGAGAGTTTTTTTCAGAGACTAACCACAAGAATACTAACAAAATTTTGCCCAGCAAACCTGAGTTTTTAATTATCTATCTGACGAGAGATTCCGAGATTCAAACGAAGGATAAGCTAGGCAGTTTTGTCACATCTATGTGCACTTATCAATTCAAGTATCCCTGTGAAGACAGTGATGTTAAAGGTATTAATGGATGGCTTAGCCAACTTTTTACTGAACACCTCCCATCATGGTTTGGCAAAGGACAGATAAAGATCATCCATAGCTCCGTTTTGTCATAGTTAGCTAGTTGATAGTGGTCATTTAATGGAAATAAACAGGAGCCTTCTAGGTTATTCAACTCATCCACTCAATATTTTTAGTGAACTTCGTATTTTTCTACTTTATATAGATGAGGCGATAGGCGTTCGACTTATTAAGCCTAAACTATGCGTTCAAAAGAAGTTTTATTAACGTTATTCCTCTCTCGGCCAATTAAGATCTAACCAACTGATGATATCACCACCATCCTCTATTTGTATTTTTATTACTTCTCTTAGTCTTATTACATGATCATTAAAACATAGCTGATTTACTTCTCTTACAATCAGTCTAGCATTACATAATCGGTCCATTTGTTTTGCTTAACCTTTGTCGACTACTTCTGTCTCAACATTTATCTGTTTAATCATGCTGTTTTTCACTATCCCTATTATCACAGATCGCTCCACTTTTTCATCTTTTTTATTGGCAGAATCGTTATTATTACTGTTGTTAAAGCTAATTACATAACTTATATCCACAATCTTATCGTCTTACTGACAGTATATTAGATATATTAAAGTTAAACCTTATGAGATCTAAGTAAGAAAAATATTCAAGTGTCAGTTTGCAGGGATTTGACTGGTTACAGAAACTCATCATGGGCTGATTTCGGATTGTAGACTATTGGAAAATCAGCACTGGAGTACTGGACAGCTGTTTTGTCAGCCTCGTCTGGGATTCTTCAACAGTACGCACTCATCCACTAACGGGGTTTGAACTTAAAACATCCGGCTAACAAGGTGCCAAGCTAGTATACCATTAGGCAGCCACTGGGACTCAACACAGTGGCCGGCCTATGAATTCAAAGTTCTGCCAATTCACAATATGCCTCGACTACTAGCCAGTGTCATCGTTGAGTATCAGTCCTCACACTTTATATGCTGTCCAGTCCTACCAGGTTTTCCAGCGGTTCTCTAACCTTTGTCAGCTCATGATAAGATCCTGAAAAAAATATTATTCGCTTACATGTGTAGTATTTAATATTTTGAAATTTACTTCCTATCCTTAAACTAAGATTCCATACAGAAACGTCCTGCAGCATCATATTACATATGACAGAATGACAAGGGATACACATGATCATTTAATATGAATTTGATTTTAACACATATGTGAATTGCGCAGATCACGAAAATCCTGAGCCTATCACCGATTTCAGAAGACTATGCCTCGCAAGCTGAATACTATTCGCATAGTAACCAACTTGAAATATAAGAAAACGAAAGAACAGTAGAGCTGTTTATTTCTCCGCCGATTACGAAACAGGATTATAAGTTGCTGTGTACAAAGTCTGTTAATAAACGTTTAAAGAAAATGTACAATTTACGATACATGTGATCGTATTTCTCCATTTTTCCGCAAATCAAGCATATGACCAATCAAACGGTCAACATTGTTGTCTTTCGCCAAGTGGAGACCAACTCGAATAAACATACCACCAAAGTTGACAGCATATACATATACATCCCTTAATTCATTAAGACTCACTCCATTTCAATAACTATGACTTATTTTCTTCATTTCTTGCCCGTCTTTCTTTTTTTTAGAATGTTATTGATCAACTGAAAGAATATGAGGTGTTAGTAGTCAGTCTGTATGATTCACTACCTCTGCTGAAATCGGTATGTAGTTCCAATGAAGTATCACGAGCAGTTGCAACTATCAAAGATACTAAACACAATTTTGTCTGTTTATTACGTCGAGCAACAGAACGGCAAAAGATTCTAACACAAGCATTAAAGGAAGATACTAAGGTAAGCAAGCGCATAGTCATTGCAGTTGTATTTGTGTTGTTTTGTTGTTGTTGTTGTTGATGGTGGTGGTGGTGGTGTTAATTTGTTTCGTTGGAAGTAAACTGTACACGTGATAAAAAAAATTTGTTATTAGTTGTTTTGTGTATGAAGGCCAAAGAATCAGTAAGATCAGATTAAAAAACACATTTATACCAGTTAAATTCGAAGAGGTACGGTAAATATTATGAAAAGATAAGATTCAACCTTAAATTACATGTTTTTGTGTTTATGTAATTTCACTGTGTATTATTAGCATAATTATTCCCTTGGATTCTGAGTGAAACAAAGAACCTCAGCAGAACATCTCCACTTCGTCCAGTTCCCTGTCCTCCTCTTTAGCTGACCACTCTATTGGCCATAAACTCCTATCTCCTCCAAGTTACTCTTTGACAGGTGCTCAACTTACCATTTCCCATTCCACTAGAGTGCTCATCTGGCTCATCACTTCACTCATCCGTCTTCTCAGTGTGTGGATGATCTGTCTTCATTTCCTTCAGCAAGTATGTTGAGTTGCTGTCAGAGTTCCCTGTTGCTATTCCATTCTGGCAATCCGATGTTCAGTATCGAGCGAATGCAGCTGCTAATAAAAGTTGGCAGTCATCGGCTAGAAATGCTTTACTCCACGTCTGTAAAGAATATAGAATTTGATAAATTTGGCATTAGTGTGAAATCATAGTGTCCAAATCCTGTTATTTATGTAAAATTGAAAATCTTCATCACTCATCATCAACGACAAAATTCGGTAGGAATTTCAATACAAAGGTCAAGTTAGTTCTTCTACACGGATCAGAAACTTGGTGGGGTGGTCACAAAGAATATTTCCAACAGGCTATTGCAGACCTTTATCAACAACTAACTGTCTTCGCTCTATACTGAAGATCGGATGGCCGGGCGGAAAGAATCACCAACAAGAAAGTATGGGAACAAACAAAATAAGAACCAATCGTCCAACAAATATTCAGGAGAAAGTGAATTGGATGGATTGGACACTCGTGGCTGAGGAGGCATCGCTTGGTGACATCGCACGCGCTTCAGGCCATTGCTTGAGTGGAACCAGACCGAAAGGGAAGCGGCGAGTGGGTCGTCAATGCGAGGGTGACATGGAGGGGATCGTGTGAAGAGGAGTTGAAACAGTATAGACTAACATGGATGCAGGTGAAAAGCGCAGCAGAAGAGAGAAGCAAGTGGAGACGTGCAGTTGAAGCCCTATGTTCCACTAGGAACCCAAGGGAACACTAATAATAATAAATGTAAAGTTGAGAAGATTACCACATTGATTTTAAATTATTGTAGGTCTGTCTTGCTTTCCATGTCTGATCTTACTTTTGACATCCTCATCTGTACCACCTGCATTTAGGGCGATACTGCCTAGATAAGTCAGAGAGGTGATGTCTTTTGAAATTATCCTGTTGACAGTGTTTGATGACCGTTGTGGTTGGCTAGGCAGCTTCATTAACTTTGTCTTCCCTGTGTCTGCTTAAAGTCCTCCTGTCTTCACAGTTTGTTTCTCCTGAAAACTTGTTTGCTTTTCTCCTGTCGAAATCCGAGTTTGTGTGACTTTAAGTATAAATCATTCGAAAATTCCGATCTTCTAGAGTCGTCTAACCGGTCCAACGAATTCTTGACTCCATTCTCCACACAGTCTCCTACATGATCCAGTTCACCACAACTAAGAATATCATTGTTGGTAGTGGGAAGAGTTGTCTTGCTCCTGCATTCAATTAAAAAAAACTCTCTAAGTTTCTGTTGTAGATCACTTGACATGTGGTATTGTCAAACAGCTGTTTAATGAGGTTGATAAAGGTTTGGGAAAGCACCAACAACAACAAGCACCAATCACCATCAACGGAAGACATTTGACAGATGTCATTCCCTTCACTTGTCTGAGAAGCATCGTTTGAAATACAGGTGACAACACCAATGAGGAAGTCAAAGCCAGATAGGATCCGAAGGGCTGGACAGAATTTCACCAATGTGAAATCAATCTGGAAATCTTCCACACTCCAAAGTGTAACATTAAAATTCAGAATTTTAACACCGATTCTAAGTCAGGCAGTTCTTCCATAAAGACCAAAACTTGACTCACGTATTACGGAGAGCATTTTTAACAGTGAGCTGCAGATTTCCAATAACATCTGCCTTCGGTGGCTACAAATTGAAAATATTTTGGCCGGCCAAAATGAATTACCAACAAGAAATTCTGGGAGCGAACGAATCAAGAATCTATTGGTCAACAAATATGTTGAAGAAAGTGGAGAGGGATTGGTGACGCATTGAGGGAGTCGTCAGCTGACATCATGCGTCAGCATGAGAAAAGACGAGTTGGGTGTGGATCCTACGGCCACATGGAGGAGATGGCGTGTGAAGGAGATGAAAGCTTATGGGCAGTCATGGGGCTAGGTGAAGAGGACCACAGAGATGTGTTCCACTTGGAAGCCAATAGGATAATATCAGTAATAATAAAGGTTTTCCACGTGCCCACCGTTTAAACATTATCACAGATTAGCCAACTGAGTCAGCTTATTTGCTCATTTTTACGTAATACAAATACTACTGTACTCGGTGAAAACTCTTAAAAAAATGTTTCTGTTTATCATTTTTCCTCCATTTTGTTTTCCAGTTTGATACAGCTTACCATAGTTTAATGGAGTGGTTCCTAACTAACGTTGAAGTGCTGAAATCTTACAATGCGCATACTGTATATGATGAAAAGATTCAAGCGTCAATTAAGACTTTGGTGAGTGGATTGTTATAACTTTTCATTCATACACTTTTTCTTCAACCTGCACTTTATTGTGTATTCTTCACAAAACAATGACATGTTATAATGCCAATGCATTGATACCCTTTTGATGATAACTAAGGTGATGTAACATACTAGATGACGTTTAGTGCAATTATAAGTGGACTGATGAACACTTGCTTAAAACTGATAGTAAACTGCTAACATAAAATCTTTGGTACTTATAAGGTTGGTATAATAAAAAGGGTGTTAAAAACACAAACCTACAGACAGTGTTATAGCGAAATAATTATACAGAAGTTAATCTTTAATTTATGACAGCTGGAGTTGTTTATCACTCCGAATAACTCTACTTTGTCAGTTGAATGAATCGAAATTCACCATGAAATTTGTTCAATCATGAAACCAACTTGACTGTTGTGCAGTGTATTGGGCAGTGTGTGAACGACTTCATGCTACATATGCCAATCACTAAAACATATTGCATTACTTTGTTTAAAGTACCATAGAATGTAGTAATGTTCCCTCAAATTTTATTGCTTTATGCTCCTAGTGGAATATAGGACTCCAAGCTTTGAAATTTACAGTAGCAATGGTGTTACTTTCTTTATAGCCTCAGGCTAAACCTTCTTCCTTTGTCGAGCTTACTGCTAGTTAGATAAGGTTTAAGAGTGCATTGTACAAGGCTCGCTAGAATTCGACTGCCAAATCATCGACGAAAGGTTTAACGTGACAATGCAAGCCTCCAGTTGAAAAAAATAGTAGATTGAAACTAAGTTATGTAGCTGACTGATGTCAGCATTTTGTGAACTAGATGCATTCACTTAAACCACTACATATTGCGCTTCAAATGAACTAAACTACTTCACACATTTAGTCCACTTTATGAATTTCTATAAAGCTAGAACAATAGCTTTTGCAGAATAAGACGATGTTATCATCATTGTTTATTTCGTTGGCTTCTCATCAGCTGCTTACACTCTCGATAAATTATTATTATAAGTTAATTTACAGAAAAGTTTTAACATACTTGCAAATTTTACATGATGTCAGTTGACATGAAGTTCGAACTAAGTGAATGGTGCTCAGAGAGATACGCTTACATAGTTTCTATACAGGGAGTTCAAGTTTAAACAAAGTAAATATATGCATACAATAGTACAGGAGTTACGTAACCAAGACAATAGGTACCTAAGATAATGAGTGAATAATAAAGTGGGTAACAATATACTGAGTTCAACTCAAACCATAGAAATGAGAGACAAGAAAAATTGCACTATAACAAAAAGGGGATGAGATTACAGTCAAAGATTGCGTAATCAAAGGAAAGAGAGAGAGAATAAAGACATCCAGCTACAGCAGGGCAAGGAGAGACAGGTAACTGCCTATTTCTGAACACATAAATTGGGTTTCAGGCGTTGCTTAGGCAAACTTGAGGAGGATTGAGCTTTTTCGCCTATTGATAATTTGAAAGGAATTTGAGATTTCCACCTCATTATCCACATCAAGGAGATATCCGGTAATGGCACTATTGTGAGCATTTGTTCCCTTGAGGGGTAGGCTTTTCAACACGACTACTTAACACAAGTCCCTCGTAATACTGTATTTTTTTCAATAGTTTCACACTGGAACAATAAAAATTTAATGGCGTATACATTTGGTTAGCTTCAATTTGGACATTATGAAAATGTGCTTAGGTTTACTTATTATTATTATTAGTACTGTTCCATTTGGGTTCCGAGTGGAATACAAGGCTTCAACAGCACGTCTGTAATTCGCTCTACCCTCTGCAGTCCTCTTCAGCCGCTTCGGTGTTTGTCCATAGTCTCGGAATGTTTGACTATGCAGTTTGATTGTGCGTTAGTCTGCTACAGAAGGATGATCCATTTAATAAATAAGATACATTTATTCAGCAGTTTTGACGCTTTCTTGAAGTGTTCAGTATTGAGGTAAAGTTTATTTGCTTTACAAGGTGGCTAAACTGTGCGAAAATAGTCTTTTTTGGGTAACTTTATTTTTTACCTTTTCATCTTTCACGTTCAACATAGAACATAGGGCTTCAAGCTTCACTTGTGAAGTTTCAGTAGCGGTGGATTGTTTTTATTTTTAGGGCGTGATGTTGCTAGCCTCATAATGAACCTAGTATATTTAAAGGAGTTACTGGTGGCAAGACGACGTCTAGGAGTGTGTTGGCCAATGGCCATGCGAGGAGTGGTTGGCTTCCATTTGACCGGTCTACCACTGACGCAGATTTCATCCTAACGTGGTTTAATCAAACAACTAGCTATTAGCTTTTATGATTCTCCGTTTCGGTGTCAGATTATCACTTTTCGCTCTGTGGTAGCTAATATAAGATGTAATAGATCTCTTTTTTACGAACGGTGCATTCAGCTTAGTGAAACTGATCAGTTTTGTTGAGTCACTTATTTTCTCTATTTTTGTCTTTAACTGTAGCTAAAAGAGTTTAATCAACGACAATCTGATTATTGGTTAGTTATGCGAATGGGTGGAAATCTGAGAGAACGTTGTACAATTTCAGATCCAGAAAAGAATATACTCACTGATATGCTTGATAAATTAACAACACTGAAATGTGAATTTGCATCACTACTGTCAACTTGGTAAGTGTTTATTCACAAGATGTATTTGATTGAATAATTTATTCAATTAACTGGAAAAGTCCAAATTGAACTCGCTAATAAGGGATATCTGTATTGTACAAGAAAGAGGTGGCTGTTGTAGCCCAATTGCTCTGTCTAGTGGATAACGCCTTGGCATTTGAAACTATGAGAACTGGGTTGGAGTCTAAGTCTAAGGAACATTACTGCTGGCTTACTGGAGAATGCAGCTACATACACTAACGGAGGAGTCCCAAATAGTGTGACGAAATGAGAGTTGTGCTGGACTCCTCCACCGCTGGTCGGCTGCCATCTACCAGTAAGCAGGAAGAACAGAATTTGAAGTATAAACTGTGCACATTATATTTCGAGGCTTCTCTTCAACTGCAGACAACCTGGTATATATACATATATGATATAAATAAAATAAGCACATCCATTCTTCTTATTCTGTAACCCGAGATTTGGTATTAAGATCTTAATTTAGGGAGATGAGAATGCATGAAATGTAATGGGTATAGTCATAGTTACCAGTAGGACAGAAATGAAAGTGATTATCAATCATAAGTTTGCTCAGATCAGCAGTACAGAGGAAAACTCTACATAACACCGTACAGGTAAGCATTTGAAAGTGACTGAAAATCAGTTATATGAGTTAAGATTAGTGGGTCACATAAAAACACACAAATAGGTAATAAGTGGAGAAAAAACGTTGACAGGATGAAATACACTTAGTCACTGTTTCTTTCTGTATATACACAAATTAGACTTGGCTTGTTTGATGGCCACTGATTCAGCAAACTGAAGTAACACATTGTGTTTCCTTGTTTATTAATAATACAGTAAAAGCAGTTTGAATATCTATTTGTTGTCCTGATTCTATTCAGTGTCGGTCAATGGTGCGCTGATAAGAGAATCCGTAAACTGTGATTTTCATGCTCTCAACTCCTGTTAATACAATGTATATTATAGGCTGTTTGCAGTTGAAGAGAAGCCACAAAATAGAACGCATATATTCTATACTGCAAATTTTGTTCTTTTAGCTTTGATGAAAATTATCAACGAAAACACGTTGCATGCATTTCTTGGAAAACTGCCTCCCTGCTGAATGAATATATATATACATATACATATATATAAATATATATATATATCTTTGTATAAGAGATTGAAAATTCAGTGGTGTTCATTGGATTCAACATTTTTAATGATTAGTCATTGTGAGGCGTGATATTTTATGTGTTTGTGGGGTTCTCTACACTCAGACGGATGATTGTTTTGAAGGGAATGTTGAGCACATCTTTGTTAATCTGTCATTGAGCAAGCCTATTCATTTAATAACAAGGCACTTTGTTGATTTAGTATAGTCTTACCTTCAGTATTACTATTGACTTGTAAATATCATTTGAGGAAATTGCTTCAAAATCATATAAAAGATCCGATCGAACCCCCCATAGGGAATGGATTCATGGCATCTGGGCATAGCTGAGGCACCGGTAATTCATAAGTTCAAGCCAACCATATTTATTCAACAGATAATATGTCCAACCGTTATTTCTAACGTGGTCATCATAAAAGGTCAATGTTCTCAACAGTGATTTTCCTATTACCTTTCTTATCCAATTTTTCTGTTTATTCATGTTTCTTTTGTACGTTTTTAAATCCCTATTTGCAATCTTATTAATTTGAACCTCGATTGGAAATAGTTTTGAAATTTTCTCACTCATTTAAACAGTAAATACAGACGAATTTACATTTGGCTATCTAGTTGATGACTTCATCGACAAGAAGATCTTCTTTCCCTAATCTCTTTTTTAAACATTTATGCATATATATATTCACAATCCCCATGGTGCTATCAGAACAAGATGATTTTGAGTGAACAATTTTTCCTCAGTTTCTACAGTGAATATTAGAATACAAATAGCCGGGGAAGGCGAGTGGAAATTATATCAGAAACTGTATTGGGGCACGTATATAGGATAGAATAACTGTTTATTAGTTAATATTGTCTTCTGAATGCATTCAGAACATAAGATGAAGTGTGAATAGGCAAAAGGGTGACATTATTATTATTATATCCTTTAATTCCTAGAGGAACATAGGGCTCCAGCTGCGCGTCTCCATTGCCTTCGGTTTTCTGCCAACTTTTTCACCCCGCTCCAAGTCTGCTTTCATCTCCTCTTCACATGACCTAATATATTTATAGTTAACAGAATATAATTTCATCAGGCTTGGTGGAAGAAATATGAATACCGCCAAATGCATACAAATAAATACCAAATATATGAGGAACACTCAATGTAAGTTCAAGTAAGGACTGACGGATGCCAAGTGTAGTGACCAATGTGTCAGTAAAAGTAAGATTAGTGAAATGGTTAAGTAATAGGGCACAAAAACTAAATGTTACCAAGGAAAATCTAAGACAGAAAGCGAGGCATATAAGAGAAGTTTTGAAACTTAATAATCAACCTGATAAATTAGTCAGGGAATATGTAGAAAAATGTAAAAATAAAGTTAATAAAAATGGCACTAATACTGGTAATAATAATAATAGTAATGATGACATGCATTTCAAACATGTTCAGGATAATGACAACACCAACAATAGAGAATATAAATCATCAGTAGTACTTCCATACAAAGAAGGAACCTCGGAAACCTTACAGAGAATTCTTAACAACGGAGGGATAGAAGTGGCATTCAAACCCACAAACTCAGTGAAAAATAATCTTTGTTGATTAAAGGATCCTGTGAAGTCAATTATACATAACAATTAAGTTTATCTAATACTCTACCTGCAACGATTGTCAGGTCAAATAAATAGGTCAGAGTAGTAGAACAGGTGCATTCAAACTAGCGGAGCATAGAAACCTAGGGAAATCTAGATTAATTGACCCGAATAAGATAAGAAATCTAGAGAATAGTTCAGCTATAACACTCACTGCATGCAGTTACACGCAACCATACAATAGGGTGATGGTATAAGATGACAGTTTTAAAATCTAATGTCACAGGGTGGAGGGAGAGATTGATGACAGAAGCTTTGTTTATCGAATCAACTGCAAATACACGTCATAGGAATGATTCAACACCTGTCCAGTAGGGATTCTAGAAAATTCTACTACCCCCAACGATGACGAACAGAAAAGAATAAAGAAAATTATAAAACGAAAGCTTTTTAAGTTGTGTGATTATAACTGAAATAATTGTGAACAATAGTAAACTGTTAATTGGTGGGTGGTGACTAGCAGTGGAATCCAGGATGTGCACTTCGTCCTATTTAGGACTCGTCGTCTGGATGTACCTTCATCCTCCTCCAAATTTGAAGTGAGTAATTAACTGTTTTCGAAACCTTGTCATCCAGTAAACAGTAATACTGTTTCACCCTGTGTGTGATATATCTAATATAGAAATTAATATGGAATAAAACAAAGAGATTAAATTGTGGACTGCAATAAAATACTAGAGACATAATAAGGTCCACACATAATAGGGATAATAATGGAGTGAAGTGAACTAGGTGAAAAGGAATAAGAAAGGCGTAATACGATGTGAAAGTATGAGATGATGAAGTCCCTGCTGACCTTACAGTAGATCAGGGTAAACAAACAGAATGAGTGTGCTTCTCTTCCACACGTAGGTTAGGTCTCTTCGTATTAATTTTCATACCTATCGGTGTAGCTAAGAGACGTAGTCGTATGCCTTTAGGCTCCTCTATTTTGATGTAATGTTCACAATCCACTAGATGAGACTATTTATTGATTTAGTCACACTTTTTCCAGGTGAAACAGGAACATGTTCAGTGGAGCGCAAGGGTAAATTCCTCTGAGTTTTACTCACATAACTAACTCCACATGAGCAGTTGAATTTGTATAGACACACTGATGTGTCCATCTTTGGTAATTCATCTTTGGTGCACTGTATCGGTGTCTGTGTGGTTGAGAAACCGATGTGTACTTCTGAAGCATTGAAAGTACTTTCAATTAACCTAACCAACCTACGGCTTAATACACCACCTTTGAACTGTACTCTTAAATAAAGCTTTTTCTTATTAACTGGTTCGATTTTATCAGTTCTTTTAGAAATATACTTCTTTACAAAAATGGTAGGATAACTAATTTTTGGCAAGGTATTTTCAAGATTTTCGATTACATCTTCAATACAATCCTTCCAACATATGCGCTTAATTCTGTGACTTATATATATGTACACGAATACAGGCAGTTTCTGATATAATTTTCACTCGCCTTCACTGGCTATTTGTATTCTAATATTCACGGATTTATAACTGTGTAGAAGCTGAGGAAGAAGTTATCCAGAACACTTGTTCACTCAAAATCATCTTGTTCTGGTGTATATATATATACATATATATATTTGTGTATGCTAATGGTATGATTTTAGTGTATTCTTGAAGAATCGGGCTGGTATTCATTTCAAGTTAATTGGTAAGAAGGCATGTCAACTAAACAGTTTATACTAATAGTATGAATGCAATCTGTATATGTGTATACATTGCATGCAACAATTGGTATCCTTCATATGTTATTAAACAGTGTTATACACTTAGACTTTTTAACCTTTTTTTTTAAAATGTATATCTATGTCTATATGGATTTATCTGCACGCTTTGTAATGCATTCTGTCATTATGTATCTAGTGTTCTGGTCTTACTGGTGTTGGCGTTGTTGATCCTCTTCCTCTACTTCTAAGGCTTGTACCTGCTACTAATCTACTAAGATTACTGTTGCCTTTGTCTTTTAGAAATACATAAATGCAATTTATACAATCGTGCATTATTATAATAAAAATTGCCTAAAATATGCATGTTTTGAATGTTATATTAGAATGGTCGTTGATGTAGTGTGTACATACATGTGTCTTACTGTTAACACCTGTGTTACATTTAACTCTTATTCTGTAATTATGTATACATGCATTATATTTAATCTCTAAATAGGGACAATTATTATGATTATCAAAGGGTTAGTTAATCTTTT